GGGCATTTTTGCAGGTAAGTGGTGTTTGATTTTCCGTGTTTAAAAATAAACAATAACATCGTTTCCGAAACCAAAAATCACTTATTTCTTCTTTGCAGTTAGCTCTTTTTAAAAGTTAGTTTAGATGAGGGTAAGTAAGTGTTTGAACCTTACTCAGACGAATCAACTTTCTTTGTAGGCGTATATTCAAGATGCTAGACCCGCACATGTACCATGCAAAGCTCTGTTGGATCTGCTGCGTTACACAAGCAAACAACAGCGACTGTCTTCAAGTTTTTTATTCCTGTTCTTTTAAAAACGAACATTTAACGCTGTCTCTTGGCATAAGGTGTATTTAAGCCCTAATCAATAAATGAGCATAATGGAAGTTTCTAATTGATGTTGTTTTGAGTACGAAATTTACCTTTATTTTCGGGTTTATGCAAATGAGATGTTACGCGTTACATTTATAATTTGGGTATATTTTCCAGTATCTTTAATATTTTTCAATTCTTACATTATTCCAAAAGGCAACACAGTTATTTTTTATTAAACTGCAATCATCAGAGAAGCAAAATGACAAGTTTGAAAACAATCTGTCCATTGCTGATCAAGATATTTTCAAATATTTCTGAACAACCCTGAATGGGCGTGATGATCATGCTACAAGTCACAAGTGAAAGATGGCAGAAGCAACTTCGATCGCAAAGATCCGTGGGTAAACGCTGCCACTAGCTCCTCACCCAACCACTAGAAGAAAAAAAGTCCTTTTGAATGAGTTATTACTTTGTTACTTTGACTGGTATGCAATTGTTTCCAATCAAATCATATTAGCGAATTGGATGTTAGGAGAGCGGAGGAAAGGGAAAAACGAGAGAATGGTCGAAAGAAGGAATAGTGTCGCGAAAAATATGGAATAGAGGAAAGAAATAACTATGGAACAAGGAAACTAAAAGCAGGAAGCGGGAAAAACCTGCAGTGGTAGACTAGATGGCACGCGGAAGATGAGATGAAGGAACACAGGGAAACGGAGATAAAGGGAGCACAGAAGAAGAGACAAACAAAAGAACAGTACAATCGAGGAACATAGGAACACAGGAAGCGAAGAACAGAACAGAGAAACAGATGAACAAAGGAACAGAGAAAAATAGGAAAATTGCAACAAAGGAACAAAAGAACAGAGGAAAAAGGGAAAAGAAGGAGAAAGAGAAGAACAAAGGAAGAAAAAATAGAGGAAAAGAAGAATAGAGAAACAGAGGAAAGGGGGAAAGGCGAAGCGTGAAAGTACAAGTCAGATTTGTAACAAAGCTTCAAAACTCTTTTAACTTAAAAATTTTGATAAAAACAAAGCGAAATGGAGTACATCACAGTCACTAAATGCACACACTACACAAAGGTTAACATGTACAATCTTGGCCATGGGAAGCAGCGAGAGATTATCAGAACCGATGAATCATTTGTCAGATCATGAACTGTATCCAAGGGAAGCTCTCCTAAGCATCACGAAAACATCCAACGAAGCGTAAACATTTTTTTATGCGATTTAACATTGTAAAAGGGTTTTAATTTCTAACTCTGGCTTTGACGCTTCAAGCAATAATCTAGTGCCCAGGCTTAACGCTTCAACTCCGGCGTGATGTCAAGAAGTGACGGAACAAACATGTTACTATGCAACTGGTCATAAACAAATCGAAACTTTTTTTCGCATCAAGAGCTTGGTTCTTGCTGAAGCAAAGAGAGAGAAAAAGGATTTTTCGTGTTCATCGAATGAGTTGAGTGAAGATAAGAATTACAAAATGAACAAAAACACTGCAGGCGACAAGGAGTCCGTGAGGAAATCCTTTGCTGCGAGAATATTTGATGAAGGAGTCAATATTACTAATCGTTCCGCTGAGAATTATCACGAGCCTCTGGAGGCCTCACACGGAGCGCGGATCATGGCTAATGAGGTGGGCATTCCCCATTGAGCTTTTTCTTCTTTGAAATCACAATTTTGCAAAACAGTTTCTTATGTAACCGGAGAAGCACAGAAAAAAACCTCAAGTGATTGGTTTTTCGCAAACGCGCGAATGTATTTCATTAAATACATTTGCCATAGAAATAAGTCAAAACTAGTTCAAATTGAATTTAAAATCGGTTATCTCTGAAATTAGCTCAGTTTTGAGTTCGTCAAACATTTGAGAAAGATTGAACGCAAATGGAAATTTTTTGCATCAAAGGTTTTCAGGTAAATGAGTTTGAAAAAATATCTTCATGAAGAGACTGAAAAGCGCGAGGAACTGAAATTCTTAGATTATGACGCCACTCTTTGACACTCCACAATCTTTCGGCTGGAAGTTAATAATGTTCTGTATCCCGAATTTTCTTGTTCACTCCTAATTTTGTTAATTCCAAAATAATTGTTTTGACATATTTTCTTCCAGTCTGCGAGAGAAAAGGAACAACTGGAACAGAAGATCACCTGCCTTGAAACAGAGATTAACGGTTAGTTTATGTAATGACGCATGCGCGATAAGAAAAGTGCGCGCGGGGAAGCCGAAGGGGTGCCGAATCTCAACTGTGTCCTTGACATCAAATCTTCTCCCTCTCCCCCCCGCCTCGATTCGCCATCCGTCATTAATAATTTTGTTTTTGTTATTTTTTCCAGATTTGCGTTATCATCCATACATTGAATTTGATCTACCTTTCAATTCAAGTATTCTTAAAATTTATTTATATTTTTACAGCTAAAGAGAAGGAGAATGCCTTTCTTAAGGAAACTCTTATTGGGAGAAACAAAGAAATTGTTGATCTGAGAGAAAAACTGTCCCAGCTACAACAAAACGGGCCAAGAAATCAGTTGGATTTTGCCAAGCAAATGGCAATAATGGATGAAAAGCTACAGGAGACAAGAAAGAACATCGAAGAACTCGAGAATGGCCTAAATTTCAGTTTACTGAAGAAGGAAACAAAATTCAAGAGCGAGCCACAGACATTTAATGGTGAGTAGGGAAAGCAGAATGGCACAACTTGAAAATACTATTTTTTCTTCTTTAAGACGAGAAGCGGAGCTTTACCCTGACAAATTGTGTATGATCTCTTTATAATGTGTTCTTCCATGCACTTAAAAGATCATTTCTTTTATTTTTAGGCAAAGCTTACTTCGACATTCAACCATCATGGTTTGACACTCTATCAAACAACGCTAGATGTCTTAAAATTGAAAACTTTCCAATAACAGCAAAAGATCTTGAAGTTATGAAGAATACTAAATCACATTCAAAACCCTTCACTGAGCCATCTAAAGGTATGAAGAAAGAAACTTGTCCGATGGGTGACAAAACAGTTTGACACTTACTATTGATAACGTGTTCTTTCGTGTACTTTGATTTTCATTTACCTTTTTTCATTACAATTAGGCAAAGACAACTTTAACCTTAAACTGTCATGGTTTGACATTCCATCAAACAATGCTGGATGTCTCGAAGTTAAAAACTTTCCAGTAACAGCAAAAGATCTCAAAGCTAGGCAGAATGAGAAAAACACTCCATCGGTTCAACCGCAAGGTGTTCCATCGAACAATACCACGGATTCCTCTGGTAACAAAGTGAACCCCTTTTCCAAAAGAGCTAATGGCATTACAAAACCAACACGCATCCTTGCTGCCAACTTTGTTCAAGGTATGGTCAGTCGAACGTCACGTGACAAACGTAGGGGTTGCTTTGATTGACAGGAGCGAGCTTCGTTATCGAGTGCTCAATGTCACGGTTTGTGTTTGTGTTGTGCACGGTTTAGGCAAATCTCGCCGAAACTATTTAAGGTTTGGTTCTGTAAGCTTAAGATTCAATCTGCCTATGTTTAAATGAAATTCTCAACTTCGCAATCTGAATTAAAATTTTTAGCTATTGTAGCTCCATAAGAACGAACAAAACTGACGTCATGGTAGATGAATGTCACTCCCCCCCCTCCCTTGTTTGGTGAATGGTATTTACTTAGACACCAGCCATTCTTTAATTTCATCCGTGATGAGATGAAGTTTGTTGCCAACTCCGCCTTCTTGAATTGTACAGGGAGTCCATATTCTTACCAAAGCCCATTACCTCCTATTTTGGCGAGCACTGTTTCCAGTGGATCTCAAGTAGGTTTCGCTCACCAGCAGATCAATCAACACTCCTTTCCTAAAACTGGTAAGTTGCTAACAATCAAATTATACAAAGTGTAAAATGTCTGTTATAAGCTCCCTGTGTTCAAATATCGCCAAACGGCCGGATTTGGATGGTAATATAAACAGAGGACCTCACGCTGGGGGAATTCATATTCAGGGGGGTATTTATACCCTAGGCGCAGGTCATATATATGGAATTGAGAAATAGCTTGGCAAGTCGCTCAGAAATAGCCTAATTTGAGATATTAAATTTCATGGAACTTTTCGTTTTTTCTATAGAACAAGGATTCTTGAGCAGAACTTTTAGCAAATGGTTCGGATCATACCATTGAAGTAAGTGTAGTGTTATTCAGTAAATTAAATGCAATGAATCCGTCAATAATTCAGCATTGTGCTGATTGAAATATTACCTTTGCTTTCGTTTGACTTAAAAATTGAGGCATTGACTCTGATTATCTTTTCATTGTACAGATCATCATCAATACCGACGACCCAAGCTTAACTCTTTCTCATTATTAAACATTTCAAAGCCGAGCGTTGTTTGTCATTTTCAATTCGTTATATTGTATCGTCTAAGGAAAACTTTTGTAAGTAAATTTATCAAAAAACAATGTCTAAATGAACGCTGTTTTCAATTTTCAGAACTTCGTTCTCAAATGATTTTGTAAATATGTCCTTAGCATTGTCGTATGATAATTTAATAAATGTTGACCAAATTTGTCAAAATTGTCTATTTTTGTTACTTAAATAAACATGAAATAGGAAATGAGGTATACTTTAGAAGACACAATCAGTTTGAGAAAGTATGCTGAATATGTTTGCTGTTGATATTTATCATTATTTATTAATGATTAATTTAATAAAAACCTCTGCAAGGTTAACTGAATAAAATGCATTATTTTATTAACCTTTTCCGAAAGTTTGTAGATAATTCAGTGCATGCAGATATGACTGTCCTAGTGATAAAGGTGAAAACTAAAACAATTAAGTGGAGTTGGTGTGAACTGGGTGTAATTGCCGCTGACCTGACTTGTTTACCTTCAGTCAACTCGTTTTCTAATTCTAAACCCAGAGTAAAGACAACGGCCAATCACTACAAAGGGTAACATCATCGTCAACCACTAACGGCAAAGACATGCAAACTACCTAAAGCGCGGGAAAACGCACGTGACAAAGTCGCGATTTGCATTAATTTTGTATCTCATTGGACCAAAGGGTTGCGTGAGTTTTATGGACCAATCAAAGACTGTCCACAAGCAAAACTAATGCATTACTGGATTACTTTAGACCCTCTATTGAGACCCGCGTTATTAATTTCTAACTATTACGCTGTATAACTAGGGCTTTGCTTTCCTTCTAAAACAAAGGCTCTCTTCACCTTAAAGAATACATTATGAACCGAAACGCAGTGAGAGTTAAGAACTCTCTAAGCTTTGGGACATTGTCTTGATACATCACCAAATTCTCTAGAACCATCAGTTGAGACATCTTTCATATATCTGAAGTAACAGTTAAAATAATAGAATAATTTTGTATGTTTACAGAAACAGAAGTTTCCGTGACCCGCGTAAAAAACCTTTAACAAGGAGAAATAAACAAAATTAAAGAAAACCGCGTAGATATAAAACATCCAAGGAAGAGAACCTAAATGGGGTTCCTTACAATTTAGCAAAGTTACTTACAAGAAACAAATTAGTGCAATTTATCACGCTATTGCTGTTACTTTTCTTTTGCAGCTGCTGAAATCACCGCGACTTTTCTTTCGCATCTTCTCCATTTTCCTCTTCTTTTTTTTCTTTATTTCCATCTTCCTCTTGATCTCTCTTATTTTCATCATTTTCTATGATCCCTTCCTTTATCTCTTGCGGTTTTTCACTCTCTTCTGCATCTCTTTTTTCCTTTCTGTCGTCTTTGTTTTTCTCGTCACCGTTGTCACTAACTTTCCTGTGATAGAAAAGGAGATGCATTCCTATTGAATGTCACAAAAGCAAAACCAAACCACAACCGCCAATCAGAACAAAGGTACATTTAAAAAGAGCTAAGAAACTTAACGTTAAAACGATAATGCTGCCTGAGGCGCGGGAGAATGCTAAGGGTGGCGCGAGTTCGCTGCACCAATCAGACAGCGAATCTAAAACCAGTGAAATACAGCTTTAATCTTAACACGCCAATTAAAACGAATTTTAAATAGTAAAACAATCTAATTATAAGTAACCTTTCAACTGTCACTACAAAAAGAAATATTATCAAATCATCACGTGGAGCATGGTTTAAAATTTTTTAAACGCCCTTAAAAAGATAAGTTTGAGCTCGGTCATGTTTCCATAATGTATGACCTTGTGTGTTATTCTCTTTACCCACAAGACCCTTTCAACACTGCTCATTCTGCAGGACGCCTGTTATATGAACTTTGTAATGGCCTTGCTCCCCATAAAGTTCTCAGAAGCTCAGAGGTAGAGCATTGCATCAAGGAATCCAAAGATCTAATCGTAACCCAAATCTTTTTTTACTTCACGCTCATAACAAAACGTCTTACACTTTTTAAAAGGTATGAGACCAAGTAGCTCAATTACCCTTGATTCTCCGCGGCCTTTGTGGGACACGGTTCAACATTACACTGCTCAGACTCCATCGCCGGACCCAGTCTCTCACAGCTCTGACCTCCGTTATCTGGCGCAGGGTTGGTACATTCACGTGTCCTTTGGCGAACACCTCCTCCGCATGTTACCGTACATTTACCAAATTCGGTCCATTCTGAATAACTGCCATCCACTGGAAAAAATAGAGCTTGCTTAAACACCAACACCTATTCAGTACTAGGTCATTTCCCCATAGAAAAGTGTGTGTGTGTGTGTGTGTGTGTGTGTGTGTGTGTGTGTGTGTGTGTGTGTGTGTGTGTGTGTGTGTGTGTGTGTGTGTGCAGGGGGGAGGGGTTTGGTGGGAAAATAACCAAACCCTTGAAAGAGACAAATTTGGGCGCGTTAGAAACATTTGAATTCAGAAGTAACATTATAAAACAAGCAGACACACTAGTAGTGAGAAAAGAATTCAAAGTCAGGGATTTTCAGTCTAATAGACTAGTGGACATGGTATAAAAAATGGCTTGTCCATTGAACTCTGGACTGGAAGTTATTTGTTGAAACCCTCTCCAGGCCTCTCCTTGAGCTACACACTCTACTCTCTCATAGCCTCTCTCCACTGAGAAGTGCAAATAAGAACCAGTGGTCTGTTAGAGAACCTTAGGGAAAAGCTGGGTAAGAAAGTGACCTACAGAGAGGTAACATCCAATTCATGGGCATTACCAATACTCCTAGTACCCTCCTGCTACACAAACCCAAATAAACTCTTGCAGTGCAGGCGTTATGACTTGTGAACAGACTTTATTCTCTTTAGCTTCAAGAGTAGTAGATCAATGCAGTAGGTTGATGTTTAGTGGTTGGTTGAAAGCGTTTCTGCATGCCAGTCTTAAATTTGTCCTGAGTTCAATTTTTTGGTTTTGGTTAAATGCACAAGTGTGACATGATCTAAGATAGCAACAGAAAAACTGAGAAAAAGAAACTGTAAACTAAGGGATAACAATGTACCTGGCAAACATAAAGGACCATCTGAAACATCATCAATGCCACTCACACTCACCTGGACAAGATTGTTCATTACATGCCTCTGTTTCCACACTTGGCCCCAGATCTTGCTCCTCACATGTTTTCCCACCAAACTGTGGTTCAGGACTGTTACACTGACGATTCCTCTCCCGCATGCCACCCCCACAAGTCACTGAGCATTCACCAAAGTCACTCCATTTCCCATAACCTCCATTTACTACAAAGATACATTAATTCTATTAATTCATTACTTTCCTTTTACACTCCTATATGGAAAAAGACACCATGAAAATTATAAAGTAGATAAAGAGGGTAAGTTTTCAGAGAGACTTTGGTGCTGCATCAGTGGGGGAGTATAACAAGATAATTTAGTTTTATCAAACAAGTTGACAATGCAAATTGGCCACTGCAAAGAAATTGCAAGCTGATGTTTCAAGTATTTACCCTTTGTCAGAGCGAAATACTTAATTTGATTTGTCTGAGGACACATGTGCAGTGAACTCAGCCAGGAATTGAACCTCACACTCAGCTTGAACTCAGCTTGGATTCTACCAAACATAGGTTACCTTGTCTCACAAAATTCATCAGGAAACCTATGCTTTCAGAGTTGAGTCATTCAAAACTGTCTTTACACATCAGTCATGTTCACTTTTATGAGGCAAATAGACAAAGCAAAGAACAAAGCCTGAATGCCTATCTCAAATGTCAGATCATCATGATTGTACTCGAATCTCACCTGGACATGTCCCCTTGTTACACACCCTTGACTCAACATCTGATCCAAGTTCCAATTTTTCACAACTTAACCCACCAAATTTGGGCTCTGGGTTATCACACTGGCGTCTCCGTTGCTGAACACCTTCCCCACATGTCACTGAACATTCACCAAAATCTGACCAGGGGCCATAGGCACCATCAACTGTACAATGTACACATAATTTACTTATAATAAATTAAATTTTGGTGGGGTCAAAAACCAAATCAGGCTGGTGACTAGGTTTCAGTTTGATGGATTAGGCCTCAAAAATAAAAACCTTTATGCAAAAGGAACAAACCCAGTTAAACCCTAAAGTAAAGTACAGAGAAGAACTATAGAATCCAGGGAAAATATAAGGGCACAAAGACAAGTAACATATTTGCCCCTAAGTGACCACATATCTAATGGACCACATTACTGCAGAGATTTCAAACAAAGGCTGGAAACCTCTTGTTTTCAGAGATCTTTTTCTGGCCTCCCATTTTCATTCAGTTTTCTTCTCCTTTTGTAAGTTTCCTCAAATAAAGATAATACTTTCCTTGACCTTGCAAGAGATTTGCATTTATGTGTGGTGTTGTGTGGTTTTGGATGTCATTCTGGTCATCCCCTAATCAAAAATTTCAACATCTGAAAGTGTTATTTAATATTACATTTCCCTTGAAAGCAAATATTATCATCAAAAATGTCAAAGGAACCAGTGAGCCTGGGCTTTCACTATGTGATTTAAAATCTATCAGGTCATTCAAGATAAAATTTCCTCTGACTTTGATTTCAAAATGAAGGAAATGGCATCTTGGAAGCCTATGTTTTCAAAATATTTTCAGATGAAGCATGCCCCAAGACCAGTGTTGAGGCTAATGCTTTTGTTGTTCTTGGTCTCATCTTTACCGATCCCGAAACCTCTCTCTTTTATTTCAAAAGGGTTGGAATCTCTCTTAGTAGCAGGTGAATACTGTCACCACTGCATCATCCATACTCCCATAAAATAATTGGATTCTTCATAATTCACCTGTCTAAATATCAGGTTTGTTTTCTCAGACAATCTAACAACACGATAAAGCAGCCTAAAACTTTATCATACCTGGACAAGGGTTCATGTTACACATGAAAGTTTGCTTGTCTTCTCCAAGAACAGAGCAGTTTTTACCCCCAAACTGCGGTTCAGGATTGTTGCATGACCGTGTTCTGAAACGCACCCCTGTTCCACAGGACTTAGTGCACCTAGAGAATACTGTCCAATGTGAGTACCCTCCATCCTCTGCAAAAAGTTTAAAAGAGAAATTGTTTTTTACAATATCAAAAGCTAGTATAATTGTAATACATCCTCTACTAACTCAACAACACTGATGCTTGAATTGTTTTACCATAATAACTTGTATAATGCTAAACAGCAAGAATGCTTTTTTGATTGAGTGTTGCAAAAACAAGACCAAATTTATTACAATGACCAACAGAGGAAAGGAAAATGCTCTTAAGAACCAATGAGAACTCCAAGTAAAACCAAGCAAACTGCTCACGAACACAAAAGATGTCACATATTTTGACACAAAATTTTTTTAAAGATATGAAGTTTTAGCTAATTAAATTAAATATACCTGTCAACCCCTTAACTCCCATGAAGGACCAAGAAAGAATTTCTCTTTACAAATGAATATAGATAACATATCAAGAAAACAGGAAATGGGAATAAAGGGAAATATCAATAGAAGATTACTAGTTGACTCCATTTTAAATTCTTTGAAGTAACATTACAAGAGTTATAAAGCAGACAGTAAGGAGAATTACTAAATAACTGTAATTTTGAGAATGAGAGGATTAAATTTTAGTTGAAACTGGCTGTTATCTCAATATGAGTTATCAAAGAACTGTCTAACCCACCTAGCAGGGCTAAAAGCAATGTTTGGGACAAAGGTAGGCATCCTTATTACAAAATTACTAATTAACTAATACTTTCACAAATACACAACTCTTACATGATATGTATAAATTAAAAATCAAATAATACTCCAAACCCAAAAAGGTGGAGATTGTGATGTAAAACTTGAATCTTAACAGTGGAAAGTTTATATTGGCAAGGATATTAACAGATTCTAAGTGAAAGAAAGTAAAACTTTAAAGTAATTGAGTAAAGCATCAGAGTGCTAATCACCAAGAATCTTATTAAGGCACCCTTGAACAAAAGGCAAAGGATGCACCTCCACCCAGAGGGCTGCCTGGCAAACTTCTTGGCTGGCAGACCAAGAGCATTGAGGATGTCACGGAAGTTAGAAGAAGTGAAGAAGAAGTGAAGACCTTATAGCTAAGGGAAATAGGTTCCTACCATATGAAAGCCTGGGAAGGCAAAAAGGGACTTAAGGAAGGACAAGGCCCACTGGGCGGCTGAGACTGGACAGAGGCGGGAACTGGTTTAAGGTATAAGGGGAGTTGTACCACTCATTTTTAGAACTGAATGATTTTGCTCCCCCTGATAGTCAGAAGAGCCCCTGCTGAAATCTGTAAATCTGAGCGAGAATTTGCCATAAGGGGTCACCAGAGTGGGCAGCACTTGCTACTAAATGGCTTTCCCAAAACATTCCAAAAAAGGAGACTAAACAGATTACCTAAAAAAAGCATCAAAGATCAAAGCCAGAGTGCAAATTATGCTTGGCATAAAAATGGCTTTTGAGAATGCAAATGAGGTATATGTATTATGCACCAACAAGCTAAGAAATAGAGCGATTGATCTCAACAATAATTCACCAAAGTAGAAGTAAATATCCACCACTTTCACCATCACTTAGGTGAATAATTGCCTTAGTAAGTTGTAGATACCACTCAGAAACCAAAAAAATTCATTTCTGTCAATATACCATAAAATGGTTGGAAATTAAATTTTTGATCTGCAATTATTTCTCTTCGGCTGCTCAGCGTTGAATTGAGAAAGCCACTATTCATCTGTGTGGTGTGTACTAATCAACAGTTACTCTGCCTTTTGGGAAAAAAAATTGCCCTCGGCATTAAGTACTGATGTATACGAAAACTAGTCGTTATTGCTCAGTATTCTTAATAGATGCCATATATCATGTCATTCCTTCTAATTTAAAATTAAGTGTAAGGGTATTGGTCCTTTCGATAGTGTATTGCAAGCAATAATTGAATAATATGAACCAGAGTAAATGAAAAATTTAGAGCAGCAACTTTAAAGAACGTGAGCGTGGTAATAGCAATGTGAAAAGTGTGTTGTTTCATTTCTACTAGAGTCTAAGAGCTATGGTTGACAGATCTCATGAGAGTATAACAGCAAGAGTGGTAAAAAAAAGGGGAAAAAAAGATAAAATAATGTTAAATTAAATTTTAAAGCCAACTCTATTACCCAACAGGGAAGTCTTTAACGACGTCAACAATTTGACGACGTCTTAAAAATACTAACACAGCAAAGAATTATCCCTACCTCTTAAAATATAACGCACAAAGTTGTGAGAAACATAAAATATGGCTGACACTAGAGCCACAATTGTCAAAGCTTGCAAGACACGTACATTGCGAGTCATCGTGCGGTCGTATTTTTCCGGGTATTAACTTATATTTAACATATATGCCGCTAAACGTATGATTTGTGCTTTTGTTCGAGAGCAAGCAGTTACATTGTCACTGAATCTATTATTGCTTACCTCATCTGCAACGTGGTCAAAACGTCTTATGATTAATGTGACTTCGTTTACGTTCCCCAAACAACCAAGGCATCGAGAGAAAAATTCCGCGCAGAGGGTTTCCAAGATAGATTGTCAGTGTATTCTTACACTTACAGCCAACTTGTTTATACGTATTGCCACTGACAAACTGCTGGCTCAGAATTAGAGGGTCATAACAAAACTGGTCACGCCATCACGCTATCACGCTATCATAGGATGGGAATATTAATTGTTAGACGGCATATTCTTTGTTTTTGTGTAGAGTGTGTGCGAAGCCGTAAACGCTTCTCCGAAAGCCGTCCATATTTCTTCCAGAAGGATGTCTATGAAAGCTCTGTATGTTGAAGAGTTCGGCGACTCGTCGAAGCTAAAGTATGGTGAGGTTCCCAAGCCAGAACCCGCAGAAGGAGAGGTAAAGAAGCTCAAATCCATTTCTCCCCACCCTTGAACTTTTTCAGCGTTTGCACCTACTTTCATGTGTGGTACTGATGGATAATTTCGGGGTCTTCAATTTTTAATGACCATGTAATTAGAGCTAACATAATTTTGTTGGAAGGGATCAGCTTTCACGACAAACCTGATCTATAGAGGATTCTCAAAAAGCAAAACATGCTAAGCTAAGCAGAGGGAGCCCATTAATTAGCAAGATAATGATGATGACAGTGCAAGTTTATTGTTTATCTACCCTTCGCTATTTGGATGAGTTATCGCATATCTGATTATGTCAAAGTCTGCAGTTACAAACCACCCCGTTCACATGCTACTCACAAGATGCTTTGATAAAAATGGATGAGAGAATTTTTTATATAACCAAAAACTTTCAATGAAGTGCGGGATTGCATAAATTTCATTTAGTTTGTAACAGCTAGAGAACGAGGCTTTACAAAAATATTTTGCATTGTTATTACTGATATGTAAATTAGCATTTGAAGTGTTTTCGGCATTCCTGTATCTTAGTGCAGTTAATCAATCTCCCAGTTGCTCAGCCATACAAATGAATTAAGGGGGTAAGTTTTAAAAGAAACTGTGGTGCTGCGTGGGTGAAAGAGTATAGCAGGGTAATTTAGTGTTATCAACTGAGTTGATAACGGAGATTGGCCACCGTAAAGAGTTTCACAGCTGACACTGTTTCGAGCCTTAGCCCTTGGTTTCGCTCTGACGAATGGCTAACGCTCGAAACGTCAGCTTTGAAACTCTTTGCGGTGGCCAATTTACGTTATCAACTCAGTTGATTATATTAAATTACCCTGTCTCAGCCATACAATTTGATAAAATTTAAGTCTTATGTTTTAATCATTTTTTTAAAAGTTTATTTAAGTCTTACATCTTAATACATGTAATTTTCTTATGATTGGTTTTATGTTTATGGACAATTCAAGTGCTTGTGAAAATTTTTTCTCTTTTTCGGCTTGTGTGCCCTCACTTTAAACAATTCTTTTATATGTTTGTGGTAAAGACCGCAACGAAGTGGTCTAATTTAACAACATTAGGATGTCCTACATCCTCCCTCTACGTTTCTACTTCCCAGAAGTTGTAGTATTTGCATGAAGTTTTATCAGGTATGAAATAAATCATATTATTGTTTTTTTAGAGGGCACGGTAACGAATCTTGCAATCTGATTGGTTCTTTACCCGGTCAGTATTTTCCTATCTCTGCCCACGGGCCACGGTAACGCTTTCGTGAATCGCCGAGTACATCCCAACTTTCGTTGCCATTTTTCATAAATATACCTCGTTTTCCGGCTGGGCAGTATTTTTAAGCAAACACGTCGGTCACTACCTCAAGCCGATAAATAACTTATGAATCCTCTCTTTTCTCTCTATCAAATCACTTTGGTTGACAGAAAAATATTGGTTTCAGAATGAATTTGTATAAACAATATTGTCATTACGTTGGTTGACAAGCGGCCTTAAAACCGTCTGCAATTAATTTTAATCGTTCGCAAAAAGTACCCAGAAAGTTGAAACGTGAGGTATTTGGTTACAGTTAAACTGAACGATGGAACTTTCATTCATTTAATATCTGAATTTTCTCGAGCAATTTGTTCATAGTGAAAGAGCGAGCGAAGTTTTAGTTTAAGTTCTACAACAAATATACGCTCCCGGTGAGTCTTTCCAATTCCGTTCAATTTGGACATTTGTGACCGTAAATTGCACAACAGAAATTCAAGGAATTTTTTGAGAAAAGGCCGCATTAAATTCCCTTGTGTCTCGTTGGAGTGTGCCGTTCGAATTTAGTTTTTGTGAAGGAAAGACCAGAGTTAAACACGCCATTACAGCAAACAAACGAGCAAACTCTCACAACTTCAAAATAAAAAAATTGAATTTACTTACAATTACTTTCCTCGCCGTTTACTTAATGAACAGAGGTAAATCTTCGTACATGAATGAATGGTCGATGAGAGTGAATAATACTTTCTGTTAGATCATTAACTGATTTTGAAGAAAACATTGTCGTGACAGTCCTTGCCAAACTAGTTGGTTTTCAAATGTTCCTACACTTTTTTTTTTCTTGCGCGCTCTCTAACTGACAGGTGTCAGATTGTGACAGATACTTGTAAAAATAATGTTTCAAAGTTTGTTTGGAAGCCTTTTAAATCACCTTTATCGTTACGGAAATGAAAATGTTTCGCTGAGGTATCTCTCTTAAATTTGCATCACCTCTATTTCAACTACCATTTACTCACTCAAAAATTGTTCAATTTATGGAAGATCTTGCCGTATTTACGGCCATAAATCATTCGGGTTCTTTCGGAAAGAATTTCGTCAAGTTTAAAAACAATAAATATGTTATTTACCGGCTAGGGGTCGGTCCGTATGGTGAAAAACTGTGACCTCGGCCTTGAAAATGCATTTTCAAGACCTCGGTCACATTTTTTCACCATACGGACCTCCCAGCCGGCAAATAACATATATGTATGTATGAGATTTAAAATTGTTTTGTGTTATTTTCATACTAGGTTTTGGTAAAAAATGAGATTTGTGGCTTGAACTACCTGGAAGTCATGATGAGGGATGGGTATATACCTCTCGAAGCTTTAGGATCTGGTTTTCCTTTGACAATGGGAGTGGAGGCTGCTGGAACAGTCGAAAAAATCGGTGCAAATGTCATTGGTGTAACCAAAGGAGAGAGAGTGGCTTATGCAGTTGTTGGATCTGGTAAATAAGTGATTTACACATGGATGCTTTAGAATGCTCTTGAGTAACCGCCTCGTATATCTGATCACCTCTCATAAGTAACCATTTTCTAGAATACCAAAATTGTGTATGTGAGTGCAGAGACGATGGGTCGACCTAGGTTTTTAGGTTTGTGGATTTTAGGAAAAAAGTAAATATACGAAGTGTACTGTATTTACAGTACACCTGAACTCTACGGTCGCTACATTGACGACTGTATCAGCGCTACCTCTACCAGAGAGGAGCTCACTCAGTTTATAAGCGCCATCAATTCCTTTCACCCGGCTCTGAAATATACATGGGAAATTTCCGACACTTCTTCGGCTTTTCTAGACATCAAAATATCAATTGAAGGCAACGTTCTATGCACTAGTGTTCACAACAAACCTACAGATTCACATAGTTACTTGTTGTATTCATCTTCACATCCACCACACGTCAAGAATTCCACACCTTTTTCAGTTTCTCAGACTTCGTCGTTTATGAAGTGACGACTCTGATTTTTCCGAAAAAATCACAGGCCTTGATCCAGTTTTTCGATAAACGTGGCTGTCCTGTTTCTGTCATTTAAGTAGGCCACCACCGCGCTCAACAAATTGATCAACGGTCAGCACTACAAACGGCTGAGAAGGAAAATACTGATCACATTCCATTCACTATCACATTTCACCCTCACAATCACGCAGTTAAATCTATCATTCTTAAAATCTTTAAATTTCTTAATAACGATTCAGAGACTGGTTCTATCTTTTCGCAACCTCCAGCAATTTCATTAAAATGTGACAAAAACAAAGGCAACTTTTTGGTCACTGAAGTTCACATCAAACCAATGACCAACCTGGAACTTTCAAATGCGCTCGCTCACGATGCAAAACTTGTCCTTTCATTCATAACGTAGAGAAAATGTCGGGACCTAAGAGATCCATGAAGATCACTGATCACTTCACGTGTTCCTCCGCCAATGTCATCTATTTCATAACTTACGCTTATTACAAAAAGTTATACATTGGTGACACAGGAAGACGACTAGGTGACCGATTCTGAGAACACCTTCGCGACGTAGAAAGAAATGAAAAGGACGCATCCAAACCAGTCACAAGACACTTTAATCTCCCTAATCATTCTAAGCAGCATGTAGCAGTTTGCGGCCTTTCCCTTCATCTAGGTAGTTCGGAAAACCGCAAAACTCTAAAACAAAAGTTTATCTTTCCAATCTGCACTCTTAATCTCCACGGTATCGACGAGCGCTTTTCATTCAACCAATTTATTTTTGTTTTTTCGTCGCCATATTCCCACTAATAGCGTAGCTCCATTTCCTGCATATAAACCCACACACATCCCAAAATTCCTCCGATCACTCTGACTAGGGGCTAACGCTCGAAACGTCAGCTTTTAAACTCTTTATGGTGACCAATTTACTTTATCAACTCAGTTGATAATACTAAATTACCAAGCTTAAACTAGTTAGGTTAACTGTTTTAACTTAGAAGAGCTCCTATGGTACCTGCAATAGTTTCTTGATCATTTTAATCATCAGGAGCACATGCTGAATATGCAAAAGTATCAGCATCAAGACTGGTAAAAGTTCCAGATGAGATTAGTTTTGAGCAAGCTGCTACATCAATGATTCAGGGGTTAACTGCACATTACCTGGTGCATACAACTGGCAGAGTGAAGCCTGGTGACAAGGTGCTGATTCATGCAATCTCTGGAGGGACTGGGTCTCTTGTGTGTCAAGTGGCAAAGAACAGAGGTAAAAAACAGCATCAGGTTTGCAAATTGGAGATTTTTAGTGGAACCTCTTTTATGGGGTTACTCTCTTGTAAAAATAGCAAGACAGTATCACTCCCAAGTACTCTTCAAGTGACGCTCTATGAAGGTAGTTCGTAGGGAAACATGATATTGAATAGTGAGTTTTTAGTAAGAAAAATCAAAGCATTATGCATGACACTCTGGAAGTTTACTTTCATGCTAGTTGACTTGGTGAAGTCAGTTGTGCGAGGTAAATGAAATAGGCTCCTCTAAATTTGGGTTGGACTGCTGTTTGTCTATCTAAGTTATTTAGTCAATTGTTCACTCATTTTAAATAAGATTTAAAAAAAGAAATTAATTTGAGGCCAAACAAAGTTCGTTAATTATTTCAATTTCAATTTTTTTCAGGAGCGTTTGTGATTGGAACAACCAGCACTGAGGCCAAAGCAGCAAAAGCAAGGGAGGCCGGTGCTGATGAGGTTATTCTTTACTCACAGAAAGATTTTGCAGAGGAAGTCAACAGGATAACTGATGGAAAAGGGGTTAATGTTATTTACGATGGTATTGGAAAAAAAACTTTTGAGAAAGGTATGATGTGGATCACATATCAAAAAGGATATTTGATTGATCTTTTTGACTCAAGTAAAGGCGCAATTCTCTGACTTATCTCAAATCAAAATTAGAGCAGTGGAGTTGTCTACCATATATTGTATGATGAGGTGAATTAAGAACGAAACACGGCTCTAACTTATGAGGTTTTGGAGGACAGACTCACAGAATAATGTCACCATTAACAAGATTGTGCTTGATATTTACATAAAATAAATATATTCCATGTTTCCGTGCCTCTATTCAGTTTTAGGTCACAGAAGATACCATGATGTGGGAAAAACATTAGTGGCAGTCTTGGCTTTGCCTCCTCTGCCACAATTTTTTTTACTTCCTTCATTCTGAAGTCTCTGATTTATTACTGAGCAGACACACACACGGCAATTAACTTGGAATATATTTCCTAAAGAGGTTTTGTCCGATGTGATTCAGCAACAAATCACAAATTAATCAAAAATGACTCTTTTGGTATATAAACAGGAATCCTAACGCAAGGAATGAACTCTCAGCCAATTTCGATTTCCTAGCATTTGCACCTCGCCGTCTAATTCTCGCACATCTAGCATATTTGCATCACTTGAAAGCTTTTCAGTGCAGTTTTAAATAATATCTCGAGATAACAAAACCAGAGAAATCCCAATGGCCAATCAGAATTAAGTGTAACGTCATCATTAACCAATGAGAAGTCATAGTGTAAACAAGCGAAGTGCCAAAAGTGCTGGAAAACGCGGTTGAGCAAGTCGCGCTTGGTTTTAGTTTTGTATCCGATCGATCGAGTTGTAGACCCAAGTTTTTTTAACCAATCAGGGACGTTGTGAAGCAAAATAAATGCAGTCCTGGATTACTTTCATTACTCAATAGAGTCAATAGAAAACGGCTCTTATTTTTTTGTCACGCTTCTTTATCCCTTCTTTAAAAGCCTGCGATTAAGCGTTCTTTGACAGGATGAACCAAAGCTGGCGGGTGTTTCTCCAAAAACGCTTTTTTTACTTATTTTTCAAACCACTCCAAAACAATTTGACATACTTAAGTCATTGCATCTAAGAAACATGAATCATTGGGTAACTTTCGGATCATTTAAGTCATGTGGCAAACTGTCTTTCATCAGTGATCTTCAGATTCATGAAAAAGTTAAAACTGCCATTTCGCGTTTCAAGCAGAGACAAAAAAACACGTTCATAAATCACGAAAAAGCCCCTCTTAAATCGAAATAGGAATGTCACTTCATGGCTTTAATAGGTGCCACACATATCTCCAGCCTTCATGTCTTGTTTCTTTATAGACTTTGAATGTTTGGCTATCCAAGGAATCGTGGTATCATTTGGACTAGTTTCTGGACCCCCGCCTCCAATTGATGTGGAGAAACTCGCCAAAGGTTCCTTCTCTATTTGCCGACCTATGTTGTTTCACTACATTGCAAACGAAGAAGATTTGAAGAAGCGCAGCTCTGAAGTCTTTGCCTGGATCAAGAAAGGCGAAGTAAAGTTTGGCGACTTTACTGTATTACCACTGTCCGAGGGAAAGAAAGCTTACGATTTGTTGGGAAGTGGAAAATCTACAGGAAAAATCTTGATGAAGCCTTGAACTGAAAATATTTAAGCACACTATCCAAAGAAATGTTCATTATTATCACGTTGTCGGGCATTGTGGCGCATTTTGTATTTAATCCTGCTGAAATAAGCCAATGAAAATAAGAGTCAAACAATCGTACGATAAAAGCAGCAAATTGAAATCGAGAAGCCATAGATATGTTCGCGCCCTATTCCCGCAGAGTTGGTGAAAGAATTGAAAGCGATCTTTTCAAAGCCCAAATGATATCTGAAATCGTAGAATTCAACGAAGAATCAATCTTCTGAGCGAGGAGAAGAAGATTTGTAAAAGTGAGAAGCTGATTCCGTCCCCAAAAAAAACATACTTTTTAGGGTTCAGATTGCTGTGTTTATTTTTTTTTCAGTTTTTATTTTCTCAATGCCCTTCAAAGTGACAATAATAGTAACAGAGTGTATTTTCTTGAGCGGCTCGGGCTAAAATGAGTCTGAGTCGGGCCCAAAACATATTTACGCCCGCGAACATAACCTCTATCGTTTTAGTAGATTAAAGGCTGATACAAACTGCATCAAATGCTAACGTACTTTTAATCAATATATATTAATGCACGGGGTTTTGAGATGTCTCTAAGGACAAGGGGGATATTAAGAGTTTTGAAATTTATGCAAGAGCCACTTAAGGCAACTTTATCAGTCTGGCGATCAGACCAGTGTTTGTTTTACTCTCTGCTGCATATCTTGTTGCGCTTGTTGTATCTTGTACCAATAAACAAGACTCTGGCTCCTAATTACATAATATCTAATACTCATTTCGGTGTGAACATCTTTTAACCTAACATTTACTGCTGGAAGGATTTGCGCGAGTGTACAGCGCTTATAAAGGAGGGTTCTCCGGTTTACACTGAACAGCTTTTTCAGTGTTGAAAAAATGCAAATCAAAGGTCGATTACCTGATTTTTTTAGAATACTCTTCATTAAACACTCAAAAGGACTTCGTTAAGTTCGTACTGAACTGTTCACGCTAACCCAAAGTTTCCATTTGGAACTCAACCCTGCTCACATACGTTATGTTGAAGTTGAAGTGTAGTGTCGTAAGAGACGGTGAACGCATCAGGCCATTCGCGAAAGTCTAACTAAAAATGTAAATTTAAATGTCTTCCCCCGGCGTTGCCGTTCTGACTGCTTATGGTCTCTAATGACATTAAGCAAGCGTCAAAACGTCGTGATTTTCGAAACAATTTATTGGAAAATATCTCAAACCTCGATGGTTTTAAGTTTACGTCCTTCAATTTTTCAGCAGTGTTTTATCGTCTAATAATATGCACGAGAAAATTACTCAGTTCTTATTGGTTAAGATAAATGCAGTTTTCAGGTAATTCAATGCAGAAGAGGGTTATTTCATGTATACTATTAATACATAATCACAAGATTTTTCCCGTTTAGTTTGGAATAAATAAGCACTTGTTAATTTTGTTAGACTTTGAAAAAATTTACTCGTGCTTATTTATTCCAAATTGCACTCGAAATCATGTGATTACCTATGCAAATTATACAGCAAATCTCTTCTTGACAATTTATATAGCCTGAAAATCCAAAAGTTGTAAGGTGCTTTACAGGATTAAAAGTAGGAATAAAACAAACAAGAATGCATCTACCGTATTTCCTCGAATAAGCGCCCTCTGTAATGAGCGCCCTCCTTTGACAAATGCTTCCCTCCCCTCTCAATCTCCTAAATAGTAGGGATAAAAGGAAGACCTGTTTCTATTGCACTTTATTTATATTTATATCTCTTTAAGCTTCAACTACAGCGGGATCATTGAAGGAGGCTAATCAGCGCCCATTCCGCTCACTCCGCCCGCACCACCACCGGGAATATCCGATGACATAATGCAAGACTTGAAACTCATTGCAGACAGAAATGTTAAATCCAGTCCAACCACTGGCTTTTTGCTTCTCTTTCGCATGGAGTCGTACCAAGATACTGAATGAGTCAGAAAAAAAATGGTCGTAACAACCTAAACTTTGAATTCAGCGCGATCCTTTGTTTAATGTCAATCAAACACCTCTCCCTCCCCTCCAACACAATAAATCTCTTTTTGTACGAACGAACGTATAATTTGTAGCAAAAGATAATACCGAGATTTTTTCTTGTATGCCCTTCAGTGCTCTGGAAGTTTGAAAGTGAAAGGTGAAGAAACAAGTGATGGCCTTTTACGCAGCTATTACACTGTTTTCAGGTTCCCACGCGGGGTAAATCGATTGCAAGCTCGTTACTTTAATAAAGATGGACTTTGAGCAAGGAATTTCATTTTCTTAAAGAGAAGTGGGCGTGGAGGAAATGAAAAAGGCACAACGGGAAACCGTAAAAGTGATTGGTTTAGATTCCAGAGACGGCCTTTCGCTTCTACTCCTGATGCAACAGCTGATCATCGTACAGGTGACTGCACTTGAGCCGGGATCACTACAAAACAAAGAAAAACAGCAATGTTTTAGAAATATATATAATAACGGCGTAATTCCTTTCAGTATGTAGTATACATACCGTAAGATTTAGAGAAGCTAACTAACGGTGAAATTTCTTTCAGTATGTATAAAGTATAGACATACCTAGCCTAGCTTGAAAGCCATGAAAGCCTTTAATGCCTTGTATGCCTTGTATGCCTTGTATGCCTTGTATGCCTTGTATGCCTTGTATGCCTTGTATGCCTTGTATGCCAAGTATACCAATGTCTCGGTTGAAAAACGTACACTTGTTGTAAAAAAGCAAAATCTGAAATCTGAAACCAAACTGCATATATATGGGGTGTAATAACCGTCAAAAATAAATGTTTAATTATGATATCCACAATTTCAGTTATGAAATATGAGAGATATGCAATCGTGCTATTTGGTCCTTGTGTTATGACATCATGCTATTACATTTGACTATTTTGCTTTTGTAATGTGCTGATTTATCACTGTACCTTGGCGTTCGGCTATTATATTTTACTATTTTGCCATTTCATTCTTGTATTCTTCAATTTCGACATTGGGTCACGCAGTTTTGCTGTTGTGATTTTGTCATTTTCATAGCGTGCGTTTCATTGTGGTGTTTTGACATGGTAACATGCAGTTCGTCATGACTCTCAGAAACGAGTTTTGGACAAGATAATTTATTTACCGCCAGAATTATAATTATGTTAACATATTCCCTCCCTGTCGCCTTGTCTTTGTTGGAAACATGGCGGCTTTTCGTGAAAGAGCGATGAATTTATTAGAAGAGGCGACCCGTCTTATTAGGGAACACACATCTAAGGCCTAGTTTATACGTCACGCTACAGTCGAATTTAATTCAGACGAATTTAATTCAAGGTCCCACAAGCAATTAAATTCGACGATAGCGCGACGTCTAAAACGAATTAAATTCGTCTGGTAAATTAAATTCGTCCTAGACGTTTTATCCGTCTTACCAAGACGGATAAAATATCGATAAAGCGTCTTCAGTTTTAACGTCGCGCTAACTTCGCGTCGAATGAAATGCATACATTTCCTTAATGTATTTCAATTTATTTTGGCGAGCCCGCAGCGACCCGTGGCGAGCTTTTCAAGTATTCCGCATGCGCAGAAATTCCTCTTGGGCACTTGGGCGCGAGTTTACATTGTAGTTCATAGCCATGGCGCTTTGGAGGAAAAGTTTGTCATTTTCTTGCAGTAATTGTGAGAGACAAACGAAGTATTCTTGTATAACGTGTGGTAAAAGTGTATGTGTTCGATCGGAATGTTCGATTCCTGAAGTTAATGAAGAAGCTATCGGCTGGCAACCAAATAAACGTGTTGGGTATTGTCTCAAGTGTGCTCTTTGTACAGAAAAGCTTGTCAAAGATTGTCTGAGCGAAGTAGATGACAAAGACCATGGTCAGAGGGATCTTACAACATGTATTCGCGAAGAAGAAGAAGAAGAAGAAGAAGAAGAGTCAGATTTCATCGAGGAAGGTGAAATGGTGAGTTCTGAATGTAGGAAAAGGAAGAAAAGAATTGGGCGGAGAGCGACTTGGAAAGAAGATCACATCACTGATATGGTAAATATCATTGTTAATGATGACCAGCTGGTCAAGAAACTGATATTTTGCAATACTAAGAAAGCAAGCAATACTGAAGCTTATGAGATGGTGCGGAAACGGCTGAACGTCGAATACAATAAGACCACCGGAAGTGATTTTCCTTTCCAAGTGCAACAAATGAGAAATAAATTTAAGTCATGCATTAGTACGTGTAAGCAGATCTGCATGACAATGAAAACTGCTTCAGGTATGAAAGGTTTGTTGAAGAACGGGGATATGGTAAATGGTTTGACCTTCTTTATGTACTTGTTAAAACTAGAGATTCATGTCAACGAGAAAATGCATGTAAACCCTCTGTACATATTGGAAATGTAGACAAGCAAGATACCAGCAAGAATGATCAAGAAGTTGATGGTGATGATGATGACTGTGCAAGCACTTCATCCAGCCTTATGGATAGCAGTGGAGAAGTCCCATCCAAGGGTAAACGTTTCTTGGCAAAGAAACCTGCCTCTAAAAGAGCTAAAACTGAGCAGATGGCAAAAGCTGTTGAACTACTTCAAAGTACTATTGAGAATGATCCCACCAAAGAACTTTTGCAAATTTTAAGGGAAGATATGAAGCAGTCTAGAGAACAGGAAATGAGGTACTTCCAGTTGATGTGTGGCCTACTAACACCCAACAGCAACCCAAACATGCAACCCCATGGTAATTTCCATCCTTATAGCAGTTCTTATTCTGATGATTTTCATCATCAAAGCCATAATTTTGCACAACAATCTGTGTCCAATCCCAAAGCTAGCAGCAGTCACCCAAGTACCCCATCCTTTGGGTACACATCATTGATGTCATCTGCTCCAAAAAATGATGAGCAGTCTCTCCTACATCACGTTCAGTCAACTATGACTTCTCAAGGACAATCTGGTGTTTCACAGTTGTACCAATTTTGAAAGGGTCTTGGCATGCACTCTAATATTTTAAAGTTATTTTGGAACTGCTTTGAAAAGAGCCTTCTACACTATGGTCGTGACGTTCCTATAACTCAAATAATCTTTTTCCACCAGCAGAAATCTCAATATTGCACTGATATGATGGTTCAAGAAGTGTAGCATTTTGTTTAAATATTGGTTTTTTAAAAGAATTTGTAAATTAAGTCTGTTTTTATCTCAAACACAACCAAGCTGTGAGGGGCATGGATCTATTCCTTGTTCATGACATCACAAACTGCTTTGCAGTGCAAAAATTCTTTGAAAGAAGTCTGTGATGTCAAACAGGAATAGAGCCATGCTTCTTGTAGTCCAAGTTGGTCGTTGTTGTTATCCATAAAAATCCAGGTCTTAAGCAAATTAAGACAAAACAGTGGAATTTTGCTCAGAAAAATACAAATATATATTTGAGAGAAAAATACAAATATTTATTTGAGGGAAAAATTGGGGGAAACAGTTGGTGGGGAGAACATATTTTAAAGCAAATATCAACGAAGTGGTGATCATGTCCGACCAGTAAGTTTTGTACCGTTAACTGTCATAATTGATTGAATGAGCTGATAGCCAACTTATAAGGTGTACCCGGCAATGTTCCTGAAGTGGATGCAAATTATGTACAGGTGCAGGCCAAACTATCTATTTTTGGCAGCAGAGGTATTAATGATATTACCTGAGTTCCCATGTAGTTTCTTTGCACTGAGATACCACCATAGGTAGTTTGGTATGTTTTGGTTGTCAAGATACGATCCTCAATAATTCTCTGTTTAATGTTTACTTTGTGGTTATGAGTAGTCAAAACAAAAACTTGTGCAATGGAAAACAAGTACTGCTGTCTCCTCAAGGCTATACCCTGGTGACAGTGTAGATATCCTTTCAAAGTTGTTCCCTCAGAAACATGAAAGGAACAGGGTATCATAATGTGTATTACTGAAATGTACATTATGGTTTACAAATCATTCAAATGTTGTGTTTCACTTTGAATCTTTTCGTTCATTTTTTTATATCCCTTTGTTAATTTGTTTGAAATTATATTACAAAAGTTGGAAAACAAAGGAAAATTGTATGGTGAAAGAATCAATACATTTCTTTAACGAAGGAAATAACAACTGAATTACAGTATTGCAATTCTCATCATAACAGTGTTTATCTCATGGTACTGTATGTAATGTCTGAAAAATATACAGTGATGCAACGTAATGTCATATATTAATAGTATTCCTTGATCCAATGACTATCATTGCTTGCTTGAACATGAACTCGAGACCTGTGCATTTCTAACTTGCATTTAAAATGGGTCGCTTAAAGCATTGATGAGAAGTAATGCAACAAACGTATTAGGAATGTCATGTTATTCAGTTCCTTTGGTCCAATTTGATTCTTT